CTCTGCTTAAACAGAGGCTTATTGATATAGAGTTGCAAGAGCTCAGAGCCCTTGCCTCCGGAAGGTGCTCCTCAGTAAGGTGGGCCTATCCCCTTTCTGGTGCTCTACCATATTACTTTTTCTGCCTGACCTCACCGCAAATGTGTAGAGCTTATCTGTTGGCCCGTCTTAATGTTCTCCCCTCTGCTATTCTTGAGGGGAGATATAAGCAAATTCCTTATTCAGTCAGGTTCTGTGGATGTCATAGAAGATAAATAGAAACTGTTGAGCACATACTCTTACACTGTAAATTGTTAAATGACATTAGAGTGGAATTTATAGAAGCCCCCCTTAGGTTGGTAGCAGGCCAATCGGATAGAATCAAGGTACAATTTCTCCTTGCTTCACAAGATCCGGAGATCATTGAACTGACCGCTAAGTTTCTCCATGGTTTTATAAAACGGAAGAGTGACCCTGATCATATTAATGATTCTTAATTTATAAGTCTAAAAACTTACATTTAAAAGTTTAGAAGGCCAATTTATTTTATGATTCAGGCATCTTTTGTATGGTCAAATCTAGCTTGTGACAACTTGAGTTAGGCCTGACATAGACACTACTATCTATTTTATAATTTCTTTTGGATTGTATTATTGGTAAATGCTTCTAATATTGTATGCCAATAAAAGGTATTTGAATTGAATTGAATTGAATTACCAAGTTTCTATCTACTGTGTTCCAGACGGCAAGGCATTTTCCTCTCCTAAGAGCAAAACACTGCAGCTTAAACGACTATATTTCATTCCCAGGATTTCTCAACTACTACGATGCCTGCTCAGAAGGATTAAGAGAAATCAGTCCTCAGCTGAGACTGGGAGGCCCCGGAGACTCCTTCCACCCCTACCCCAAGTCCCCTCTGTGCTGGAGACTGCTCAGCCACTGCCACAATGGAACTAATTTCTTCACAGGAGAGACGGGCGTGCGGCTGGACTACATTGCCATGCATAAGAAGGTCTGGCGCTCTGTTTGCTCGCTGTGAAGCGCAGAACACGTAAAACCATTCATAGCCCTATTTCAATGCTCAGATTTATTGGCTTGCCTGCATTAAAACTTTGCTATGTGGCACAAAGGTTCCGGATTGAGTTCCGAGGAAAGCGGCAGGTGCATCGGTGGATTCAGATGTTTAAAACACTGAACACCATACTTAGTGTCTATGTGGTGCTTTACAGCAGTGATAACAAATATGGTGCCCAGGGACACCTGGGCTATGGGTTTCCCAGTGCCTATTTGCTTCTCCCCAAAACACCTCTTTCCAAACAAAAGAGCCAAATCCTGGCTTTCCCGCATCTCACTGGAGGGGGGTGGGGGAGAAGGTTGGAAGAATCCAGGAAGCATCACGTTTGGATCTGCCGGGGAAATAGCTACCCACATTATTAAAAAGATGCTTGGCTTGGAAACTTACAACAGTTTGAAATTTCCCACCTCCGATGGCAGCCATTTTTTGATGGTGCCCAGTAACCTTTCTCAGAATTCCACGAGTACCCACGGGGTATTTTTGAAGATACCTGCTTTATAGCATTCAGAGTGACATTCCTTCAGTAAGCTTTACAACAGCCCTGTAAGGCTGGCCAATACTATCTGCATATTGCTGAGGGGAGCCTGAGCCTGAGAGACAGTGGCTGGCCTAAGGGGAATATCCACCAGGCACTACAGTCCACGTGGTGGTTGTAACATGCCCATATTTATGAAAATCCTGCTATTCAGCAATACTTACAGACTCTATCTTGTTTTCTTTGGGTGGGACTCCCACAGTTCCCTTGCTGAGTCCAGCTGTACAGCAAAGAAATGGCCTTCAGTTTAATCAGGCACCTCCCCCCCCCCCCCTTCCACCCTCCCCCCCCCCCCATTCACCACTTCTGACACCATGTAATTTTTCTGGGTCCACAGAAAAAAATCCTACCACCCTATAAGGTATATAATCTTCCCCCTTGTTGCAAAGAGGAGTTTGAGGCCAAAAGGACGTCTGTAGTGGAAGCACAATTCCTGAGACATGCAATCACACACACTTCATTTTAAGTTTCAGAGTGGCTGAACA